AATCGATTATTAACAATCGATGATAATTGATTATTGGATAATAATCGATTATAATCGGATATAAAAATTTCCTGATGTAACCAACAAAATAAACTATAACAATATATCATTTTTTTTAGTATCTAAATTGTAATACCTAATAATAATCACATTTTTGTACACTTTTTGTTTTATTTTCTTTTACTATTTCACTAAATTTATTTATTTTTGTATTTTTCACTATAAAATTTATATTTTTTATCTTATTTATACTTATTTTATCTTTAATTTCATTATTTTTAACCAATTATTTATTTTATTTTACAATTATTCTTTTTATCTCTTAAATTTTTTGTTATAAATATTTATATTTATATTTATACTATTGTTTTCTTTTTTGACAACTCTTCTTTTTACTTAAATTCTTGCTTTTTCTTATCTTTAATCACTAAAATTGCAACTAAATTTCTTTTATATTTTCTTATTAATAAATTTGTATAATTTTTCAGTGTTTATACTCCTTTTGTATTATTAGTATTGTTTGTAAATCATGATATAGTTTAGTCTCTTATTACTAGAAATTCTCATACTCTAATTCTCTAATTTAATAAAAAAACAAAATTTTTACTTGTAATAATTTACTTGTAAATACACTATTATTTTCATGAATTATCTTCAAATCTTGAAATTACAAGTAATAGATGCTTTTCCACTTTAAATAAACTGTTGATATTATTACTTTTATTTAATTTAGTTTTATTTTTAGATTATGTCAATAAATTCTGTTTGAGTATTTTTAGTTATTTTAGTTTATATTTTGTAATTGACAATTTCAATAAATTTAATTGTTATTTTATTTCATTAGGTATTATCAATAAGTACTGTTATTAATTTATGAGTTATTTGTTAATTTTTTTTACATTTCTACTTTAACTTTCTATTTATTTTTATTCTTTATTTTTGATAATTAGTTAGTTTGCGCACAATTACCACAAAAGATCTTTAAAACCTTTAGTAAACCCTATTAATTGTAAATCATTCAATCTTTGTTCTTTCATTATTATGTTACTTTGTTAATTAATTAATTTTAACAATTTTTGAATTAATGAGAACAATATCCTGATGACATTTTGCCATTCCAGTTTCAACAATCTGATTCTAACAAATAATCAATATTTAACAATTCAAAATAATAATTTAAGAACAAAAAATAAACTATTATAACAAAAGCAAAAAACACATACTAAAAACAAGTAAATAAATATAATAACGTGTTAGTATCTATTAATAATATATCACAATCCAGAGAAAAAGCTAAAGAAATACAATACTGGATTAATACAATGAATAAATTATTTGAATACAGTCAAAGTCCTTTACAACGGCGCTGTATACATCGAATTCGGTTTATACCGTATTGATATCACAATTTTTACGATTTTTAACTATTTAAAAACTCCCTATATACCGAAGTTTATAATATAAGCACTATATATCGGCCCAAAAGGGCCGTTGTAAAGGACTTTGACTGTATTATAACCAAATAAAATAAAAATAAAAAATAATAACACAAGCAGTCACAAGACATAGCAAGATTAATAAATAAAATATAAGACGGAAGACGTGTTATACCAGCAGTAGCATCATATATAGGAATAGATGGAATAAACTTAGAAAACTGGAACGGAGCAGCAAACTCACTGAAGGAAATGAATTAAAGCTCGATCATGTCGGGTCTGAGATCAACTCGCTCTAATAAATTCGGATCAGTTCGGGTTTGGATCAGGTTTTTATCTGAAGATAAATTATAACTATTTGTAATTATTTGGACGTCCACCATGGTTCGCGGATCTGCTTTATTTGTAGTAAGGAAAAGCTAATTATAAATTAATATTATTGCAATTTTCGCTTTTGTCGAATTAATATATCATAGATAGATGTTAGTGAAACGACCTCCATTTCATCCATACTTATTATTGTAGATATGACCAGGAGCTTAAATGCATGTAATATAATAAAACCAAAGATTATTTGTATTCAATCGAGTATTTTTTTATTATATCTATGAAATTGAATCATTATGAATAATTGTCTCGCTCTATAACTTTTGCAACTTGAAATAAAGTTTCTTCATTTCCATACTGAGCTATTAATTGTAATCCAATCGGAAATCCATCATTAGAAGAGATGCCAAAGGGTATGCTCATAGAAGGAATTCCTAAATATAAAAATAATTATAACAATTATAATGATTATATAATAACAACTAAATTTTACCTGCCAAACTTGCTGCCGTAGTCATAACATCGTTAACATATGAATCCAATATTTCATAACTATCGGATTTCAAATTCTCGCTGCTAGTATCGGATAAATTAAGTGAATCACGAATTTTGGGTGCAGTAGAAATTGCTACCGGAGCTATCAACACATCTACACCGTGCTTTAACTTTTCTTCAGAAATGAGCGTCTCAAAATTATCATCAAGCAACGGATTCGGCATTGAAAATACATTATTAAAGTCTTTTCGAATCAATTGTCTTACGCGTTGTGCTTGCAAAAAATAATTTTCATAAGACCTATTTTTTATAATATAATCTTCAATTTAATTTTACGCAAAAATTATAAAGAAAAAATTTCTTGCTTGCCCTTCAGTTAAAGTGTAAGTCCCAAGAATTATACGTCGTTTTACTTCTTCACCAAGTCCTTGATCTCGCGTATCAGTATGTTTTTCTTTTGTATTTGTATGGAAACCTGAATTCAAGAAATATCTGAGTTTTTTGCAAATATTAAGAAAGCATTTTTATAATAATTATAAAACGCACCATATCTTACACCATCATAACGTGCTAAATTTGAAGAAGCCTCAGCTGGAGCAAGTATATAATATACCGGCAAAGCATATTTTGTATTGGGACAAGAAACAGGAACAATAGTAGCACCATGAGAATTTAAATAGGAAATTCCTTTACGCCATAAATTAATAATGTCTTCGCAAAGTTCAGATACAAAATATTCCTGTGTATCATAAACCAATTAAGCTAATTTAGTTTGCCTTATTGTGAACGAAAGTAATAATAATATTAATCAATGAAAACTTTTTACCTGTGGAACACCAACTCGAAGCCCGCTCAAATCTTTTGTGTCAATATTATATTGATTTGAATTTTTATTAGTTGATCGGAATTTTGGCGGTAAGGATGTCGAGTCTTTTTTGTCAAACTTTGAGATCAAGTCTGTAATGATTAATTATGAATTTTATTTTTCATTGAAATAAATTTTTGTTATTCAAGATACTAACCATATACCAATTTTGTATCGTCAACAGTTCTTGTTATTAATCCGACAGTGTCTAAAGAATTCGCGTATGCTGTTAATCCCCATCTGGAGCATTGTCCATAGGAAGGTTTAAACCCAACTACGCCACAATATGATGCAGGTAAACGAACAGACCCGCCAGTATCAGAGCCTAATGCACTAAAAAAATTGCATATAAATTTGCGAATTTTTATTAAATTCTATAAGTCAAAACTCACGCAAAACACATCCCAGAAGCCACGGCGGCAGCACTTCCACCTGAACTTCCACCAGCAACACGTTTGTCACCCTCTTCTATGGATTCAAGAAATTGTGAAAGCGACAATAATGGATTGTATGTAAGACCATATGCACTGTACACATTTGCTGAGCTAATTGTTTAAGTCCTTCTTGAGTACTCTGGCAAACTATTCATCAATTTCAAATATTCGATTTGACAATATTTACCCCATTCCAAATTCATCCATGTTTGTCTTTCCAATTATGATAGCACCTGATTTTTCGAGTAATTCAACTACTGTCGAATTATAAGTTGACTGAAAATCTACAATAACAACAGACAATTAGATTTTGTTGGATAAAGTTTCAAAGAAATTTTCTCAACCTTTGAGCGTTGTAGATCCACAAGTAGTGTATAAATTTTTAGTGCAAAATATATCTTTGCAAGCGATTGGTATACCATCTAATATTCCTTTAGGCTCTCCTTAGCATTTAAACCGTGCGATTACCATTATTGATTATGAGATATTTAATAAAGAAAAATTCAAAGATTTAATTAAAACCTCGTTGAATTCTTTCTTCTGCTTGTTTAGCTTGATCAAGAATTTTTTCATAATCTTTTACTTGAATAAACGCGTTAATTTGATGAAACGCATTTATTTGTTTCATACATTTTTGGGTCAAAACAACCGGAGATACTTTCTTTTGTTTTATTAATTCAATTGCCTAGTGCATAGAGTAGTTTTCAATACGGCACTCTTTATAGAAATTTAAATATAATTCGCGTCTTTATTATGTTTACCTGACTCAAAGACAAAAATTGAGATTTCTGGAGGTTGCTTAGTTGTATACTTGTAAAGAAATATCGTTTTGTGCCTTTTGGCCGAAATAATATTGACGTGAAAAAACGCGTAATAAGGAACATTGTTATGAACGAAATCAATCGATTACTCATCAATTATTCTTGACATTTATTATAATAATGTTCACATTGCTGATTCTCCGGGTTCATCGAAATAATTCTCCTCCGAAGTGCCCAGCGAGTAAATAATTGTTCTAAGCAAATGTGAATACATAGCCAAAATAATGATATTTGGACATGTCAGAAAATTGTTCTTGCTATATTCAATTAAAACATAAAGATCAATAAAGTTGTAGATTTCTTCTATCTTGAAGATTTTAAAATGTGGAAATAAAATTATGGGATTGATTAATAAAAGTGCTCATGATATTTATAAGCTAATTGTTGTTATATTAAATTAAATTATATTATATTGTGTTATTAGGATTGTATAAATATACAAAAAAAAATGAAAATATTATGGAATCATTAAGATCAATTTCATCTCTAAAAAGGTATAAAATTTCTCAAATTCGACATTGTTTCAGACAAGTATTTTGATAATGGCCTACATTTTGCCAAAATATCCGACAGCTCAGTTTCATAAGCCATAAAGTAGGGAATCGTTTTCTTCGATCGTGACATATTTCGCAGTATTAAACAAGCAGTTAATGGAATACCTATGGCTTCTCCGTCAGCATCAGAAGAGACGTTTACTCGTTGCGTAAGGAAATTTCTTCTTTGATCTAATTTCACTTGAGATGATTCTTCGATTGTCGAAGAATCTGGTTCTATCGGAAAATGAATTTTGAGATGTTTAAGGATGGTACTTCGATTCGCAGTACCAGGAGAATATCTACAACAACCTTTCCATAAACAGTCATATAAATGACTGTTATTTTGTTGTAAATGATTATATATAATATGTTGATAAACATCATCTCCTTTTGGAAACGGTGCAGCAGTACATCCATCCCATCGACAAGTAAAACTTGCAACTAAAATCCAAGATTAAAGAAAATAAAATTATACTTAAGTTGGAGAATTAAAAAAATCGATGAGAAAAATATGTATATTCACCAGTATTCTCTCGTAATATCAGCTTTTTTCTTCGGATTCCTTGAATAGTATATGTGAACACATCACCAAAAGAAAGTCAAGGAAAGCACAGATAGACAAATAAAAGAAATAGATGCTTATGATTTCATAGAAAACAAATAAATAAAGGATATTTAGTTGTTCCATCTGATCTAGTAACCATCATCGCAACGGCTTTCGGAAATGCAGCAGTGACGTGTTTGATCACTTCAGCAGCCGGCATCATTGGAGTGGGTGAATTGAAGAATTGTTCTCTGTAAGCAAACCAAACCTCGGTTTGCAAAAGACTTTCGTTTGGCACATACTCGTAAACAATTTTTAACCTTTTATTTTTATTTTGAAAATTAAAATATTGTTAGTTATATGTTTTTCGCTGTGTATGATTCAAAGAATAAAAGAATAAAATTACCATTCAATAGTACGATAAGGTTCAGGCAAGTCAACAAATGGACCGGATAATTGCAATTTTGGGACGATTGGCATAATATCGTCATATGCTGCTTTCACCGTGTCAAAAGCTTGCCATCTCATGAATCTAATCATTAAACGCACAAAATTACCAGGTGTACATTGAGCTATTCGATAAGCCATGTCCTCATGTAAGTCCGAGAATTGATATAGCAAATCAAGTACAGCTGCGACAAGTTCTTCATCTTCAATTAGTAATAATTCGATCATACGTTGAACTGTCTTGGCCTCAATATCTCGTAAAACGGTAATATTACTCTCATTTAGAGCTAATCTTGTCATAGATCGAATCCCACCCATGATCAATGCTTTATCATTGGAATACAGTAAAGTTGGTATAGTTGTCATAAATGGGTCGTCCAATCCCTTTAGAATTACATATGGACAAATGTTCTCTACAATATCTAAACAATAATGCCGGAGTTCAATGAAATTTCCAAATATTTTTAATTTAAGCCCTTCAATTAGATATTTTCTTAATGGCTTATATGCAGCCATTAGTCTCATATTGTGTTCCAGAAATGAAAAGTTCCTTATAATTAGAAAAGCCTGAAGCACTCGTTGATGATATTGTTGTGATTCAATCGAATCAAAAAAAGGATTCATTGACACAGAATTACTATCATCACCATCAAGATTCATGGGATCTTCTTCGGTTGAAACGGGTTTGCTAATGTCAGATAATTTAGCACAATCCTCAAAAAAGGGTGCAACAAAGACGAGAAGTGCATCCACAAGACCAGGAATTTTATCCACATGAAAAGAATCTGAGCATTCATGTGAAAATTTAGTTAATCTTTTAAATGCCCAATCAACTTCATTTGGAAGTGTAGATCGTAAAGCGAGTAGCATCCGGTTATGATGCCCCCCATCCAAATAATAACCTATTCGAACAAATATAAGATAATTTATAAAAATATATATATCATATAACTAAAAAAAAATGATCACCTTCTCTCCATGAACCTCTATGCGCAGGAGGCTCTAGGGATTGGACTTCGAGCTTATTAGGAGGTAGCGCATTGTATCTTCTCGACATTAACGTTGTATTTACTATCCATTAAGTTGATTGGGGATATGAGAATTGATATAAAATATAATTTGAAATTAACATAAATATAAAATCAAAAATTATCTAACCTTTATAAAAAAAAATACATGATCATTTTAGTCCAGAATTCAACATTTGTGGAAATACTGCGTTGTAAAAAAGACAAGGCATTAATTACCTCTAGAATTATCTCTCATATGTGTTTTGTTAGTAACATAACTGTGCTCAACGCCATTTGACGCTTCACCCATTTCTACATCATCCCCACTGTCATTATTGCTAATATTACTATTACCATTATTATCACTTTGATCACTATTATCGCTACCATGGCCGCCACCACCACCACCTCCTCCATTTGCATAACTTCGACTGGAGCCGGCAGTCGTTGAAACCTTTAGACCACCATAAGGAACCTCTTTCCCCCAAAAATTCTCCATTTCATAGCCCTCAAGAAATTTTATATATAAATTTTTCATTACATAAGCACTATTCGTGCAAGTGACGGGGAAATTAAATGGGAGTGTAATCTTTTTCCAACCACGTTCTTCACTGACTTTTTGACAACCACCTGCTTCACAGACCATTTTATAGATTCTGTACAAGTCCAATTTTTTGGAGCCCAAAACTGGTTCTCTTTGTAATGACGTTCTAGTAACGTGAATCGGAAATTTTAGAATAATATACTGAACAATTATTTTCGAAGCTAAGTAAGAATTTACCCGTGTGATCTATGAAACTCTTCAAGGTCTTCCATGAAAGACAGGTACTCTGGAGTCCGTTCAATCATATCTTCTGGTGGCTTACCACCCCCACGCAACGAAGAAGCTGATGGTGGGTGATGTACTTCACCTCTTCGCATGGCTCTCGTTTCCCTCATTTTTTAGAATAATTCTCGAAGTAAGTTGGCGCGATAATAAATTTGAATCAACACGCGTATGATCACACCGAAATAATTACTTATAATGGGAATGATCCAAAAAAAAGGGGGAAGACTGTAGTTTTTAGATCTGTTCATCTTTTACACACAAAACCGAACAAATGGAGATCCGGGGCATCGATCCCCGTACCTCTCGCATGCGAAGCGAGCGCTCTACCATTTGAGCTAGATCCCCGATAATTTTATTCAAAAGATTTTTTATTGTATATGTACTTTATTCAGAATTATTCATTAAATAGGTTCGAGAACTGAGAATTTAAACCTAATTTTCTCAAATATGAGTGACAAAAGTGTCAACACGGCAGCTCTACTTTCAAAACTTATAGCCTTTGTCCCTTCCACACAAAAATTTCCACAAATTGTCTCAACTTGTCAAGAGATTGACACTAGCATTTCCGAAGTTACCGAAGAAGCAAAGAGTACTTGTGAATTTTATCAGAATGTAATTTCTTTACCACCTACTAGTATCGATAAAAAAAGTAACCTCAACAATATTTTTTCAAATAACACTGAGGTTAAAGACACTTGGCACTGCGATTCTTGTACTCTTGATATTCCTTCACAATCCTTTGAACAACACTTGCATAGTACAGCTCATCTAATATCCCATGCACCAGATGATTCTGTCCCGGTTGATCCATTGGTTTTAAACGACACCAATATAGGGTTCCGTATACTTCGTGGACAAGGCTGGACTTATGAAAAAGGATTAGGAATCAGTGAGCAAGGAAGACGGCAACCTATAACGCCAAAAATTAAAAATGATCGTTTGGGAATTGGCTTAAATTCAAACTCATTAAAGAAACAGAGATATTTTAAACAAGAGAAAAGAAGTAAAAAGATATTATTAAGTGCGAAGGAAGCAGCGCGACAATATGAGAAAGAAAAAAAAGAAAGGATTAATTTACTGGCTTACATGAATCGTTAGAGTAGAATTAATATAGGTCAACAATGGAGAAAAATTATGTTATGATTTTACTTCAATGTCTTGTCCAAAAATATCGTTATAATTAATTATAAAGTAGGTTTTATCATTTTACAACTTGATCTATTTTCCTTACATGTATTATTAATTAAATGAATAAATTTTATATTGTTTACTCACCAACCACTTGCATGACCATCACCTCTTAGATCACTTCCACCCGCCCATATACGCTTTCCATTTTGAGCAATCCTTTTTTCAATAATTTGACCACGTCCAAAAATCCCTCTATTCCACCCTTTAACGATTTTAACATTGTGTCCCATTTGAACCAACTCTCTCACTACATTCTCATCTATACCTTCCTCAATAAATACTATAGGCTTTTCACCGGAAGGTCCAACACGAACACGCGGAGCATCCAATGCATTTTGCACATTGAAATTATCGTTATGTAAAAGATTTAGGATTACTTGAACATGGCCTTGTGGCTAAGTTAACAATAATTGACTTGTTGGTCACTGAATGAAGTAAGCATACAAATGAATATGTTATTACCTGCATATAATCTCCCATTACTGATATATATCAAGAAGTTAGTTTTGGAAACTGGATAATAATATAGATAGTTCAAGCAGAATATAAACTAACCACCGAACGATAACCATAGTTCATCATCACGTGTTACCATACAAGGTATTATTGTATGATATGGTCTTTTTCTTGGGGCTAAACAATTTGGGTGCCCTTCTTCTAATACAAATCCGGCTCCTCTACAATGCAATGTAAATCCACAATCTTTTGGAATTGCAGCCTGTTACAAGTCTCGTTAAAAATTGACATCAAGTTGTGGTAAAATTCATGAATTATATACAACTCACAGTTCCAAAATGCATATAATTGGAATTCTAGAAAATCGAGAGAACAAAGTACATAAATTATTAATATCATTAGATTATTATATAACATATACATACAATAAAACTGCAGGCATTTCCCTCGTCATCAACCACCGAAAAATATACAGTATCTCCTGACTTTACGGGTGATCCTTTAACAGGATCAATTGTTGCCTTGGAGGGATCAAATAATTGTGCACGCGTATCAAAATATTTCTGTCGAGATTAATAATATTACTTAGATTCTTAGTTTGAATCAATTCGAATGATGAAAAGAAAGAATTACTTTGGACAAAAGTTGTTCAAGCGAAAGATTATAAAATTTAGGATCAGCAACATAATAATTAGTGTCGGCAAATGCTAATCGTAAACTTTCGATTACTGCGTGCAAATAAGCTGCGGAATTATGCTCCAATTCACTAATATTTGGAATTTTTCCTTGCTCTTGCAGAGATTGAAGAATACCGAGTGCTAAAAGCGCCGTGATACCTTTTTATAGAATTAAAAAAGATTTAGGAGAAAGTTTTCGAGTAATAACTAGCTATTGAATAGTGATAAATATAACCTTGTCCATTAGGAGGACACTCATACACCGTAAGATCTCTGTATTCGATCGATATAGGATTAACGAAAGTGGAAGTATGCGAAGCGAGATCATCAAGAGTCATGACTCCTCCTTTATCTTTTATGAGATCTACGACTGCTTGTGCTATTCGACCTATTTGATGCACAAAGGATTTGAAAATATGCACATTTTAAAGGCATATTGTACTTGGAATATTAAATAAAATCTTATTATTTTTACCTTTGTAAAAACCATCTTTACCATGTTGAGCCAACTCACGAAATGTTCTTAAATTTTTCAATTTTAATTCTATAATGATGACGCTCTTGGAAAAATTCTTGAACGAAATTATATTCAAAAATACCTAGCTAAATTTGGCATTCTCATAAATTCCCCTGCTTTAGGTGCTCTTCCATCTAGCAACATATCATTGGCATTAGGAGAAGCAGATTTTATATCGTTTTCTCCTCTTTGCCACTGAGCAATAAATTTTATTTTGTCACTTCTAGTTTAAATTAAAAATCAAAAGATAGATAAAATAACCGACCAGCCACGCACTAATTTCTGATACTGGAAATCCTTCTTCAGCAAGAGTAATTGCAGGTTGTAAAATTTCTTGAATACTCAGTTTTCCACTGCCATAAGATTCGACTGTATCTACCCATCCGGCTGCTGCTCCTGGCACTGTCACGGCGTGGATGTTTAGATATGGTATATTTCGATCATGAATACTAAGAATGTCTCGCACATATTCTAACGTCAATGCAGCAGGAGATCTTTATGTTATTAGAAGAGATATCAGCGATATTTGACAATCACAATATCCTAAATTCATAAAATATTATCAATTAAGAGATAATTTTAACAAAGTAATTACCGGCCTGAACCATTCAATCCTTTTACAGTTTTTGTCTTTGAGTCGTAAAACAGACAAAAACAATCACCGCCGATTCCTGTTGATCCGGGTTCTATACCAAATATATAAATTCAAGTCACTAAAGTAATTCTTAAATTGATTGCATAAATACCTGTGACGTTCAATGCTGCAGCTTTTAATTTAAAAAATGCATCAATTTCAAATTAATCGAGATTTTTAATTTCATTATTCATATCTTATATTTACCAGTTGCAATAGCTGCATCCTAAATTATCAAAATTAATTAATTTTAGGTCTATTTAATTTCATTCAACTAATTAAACTAAAAAAATACCGCAGCATTTCCTCCTTTTCGCAATATTTCAATTCCAGCTTGACATGCAAGTGGTTGACTGTCAATTTTCACCAATATCATTACATGGTTGGCAGGGAAAGCTCGCCATGATTCGAAAGTTACCTGCTAGCCACCATTGCATGCGTTCCATACACAACTGAACGTCTTGAAGCAAATCGAACAAATGGCAATGATTCTTTATCGGAACTCATATCTACTAAAGAATGTTTTGTCGATCTCGGAAAATTATACTGTAATGTTAATTAATGTTAAAATACGATTGGTACTATTACCGTTACACGAGCTTTAATTTCTATTTTTTGTCATACAATCAGAATCGAAATTGGAAAAGTTACATATGTACAGATCACATGCCAAATTTTTGCCATTATTTTTGCACGACATTCTTCAACAACACCCTCTCTTTTCCTCTTGCCTCTTCAAACATCCTCACCCCGACCCCAATCTCTTCCCACTGCCACTTTTTCACTTTGAACCCAATCCCAGCCGGCGCATTCTTCGCCACATAATATAGCAAACGGTCAATCACTGTCATATTCGCATCGCGTAGTCGTAAATTTCGACGATGCGTGATTCGCTCAAAGTTCTCTTGGGTTTTTTTATGGATAAATGGACCGCGGGGAACCGCCCATCGTTTGATTTTCTTCGGGAGGTAGGCAGGTCCGGAGCACGGTATTCCGAGTGCAAATGCCGCGCGGCGGATAAAATCTATGTAAAAGTCCATAGGACCGGTAGTGTAGGATCGGAGTTCTAGGTCGCAGACTACTACGTTGTGTGTTGGTTGATGTCTTTCGGGTTCTATCAATGTTAAGGGTCAGAGATTGTTAAAATTAATCACGAATTATATAGAGAATAGCAGTGATGGTCAATTAATTAAGTACCCAATAATACTGGATCTAATTTCTCTTCGTCTTTTTGATTGTTTCGTTGTGGTTTTTTCACTACTTCCAACAGAATACTTGGTTCATCTCGAGTTTCCCCTAATTTTTTTTGACCAAAATCGCGAAAATAACGTGTTGAATAGCTATGCCGGGTGCCATGAGATTTATTGTTGGCTTTCCAAATATTTACAGTATTTTGCGGAAAATATCTCGAAAATCGAATGACAAACATTTGAATTCAAAAATTTTTTGAATCCAAATTTCTAGTATCCTAGCCGTGGCGAAAAAATGGTCAGATCACGTGCTTCTTGTGGCACAAACCAATAAAATGCGTAAATTTTTGATCAGCCCGGCAAAACAAATCCGACACAAGAAAATGAAAGCAAAAAATGTAAAACAAATATCCAAATCTAGCTTTGCACATCAAAAAAATGTCGGGAAGGCAATTTTACATATGATTTTTGTTCCAACTCTAGTTCTATGGTGCATAAAATCTAAAGTCATAAAACGTTTGTATTTTACAAAATGTATAAACTTCTTTACTAAGAAGTAAATACAAAATTTAATCCGTGAATATGATAGAATAGGCTTTTTCTGAGCATATTCACGGATTAAATTTTGTATTTACTTCTTAGTAAAGAAGTTTATACATTCTGTAAAATACAAACGTTTGATGACTTTAGATTTTATGCACCATAACCTTTAAATTAATCTTTAACAATAATCTCTATTATCGTAGAATTTTTCCGAACATATACAAATATCACATGATCCATGGCTGGAATATTAGAACCGTGACATATATTACATAATATAATTTTACTATAGGGCCCCCTCCTCCGCGTATACTTAAATGGAGGTTCCTTAAAGCAAGGCAAGCCGTTTAGTCACCTTAGCCACCAAACGCCACTTCTGATCTACAGCACATGATCTGCAGCACATGATTGAAAAATACCCAATCAAAATTAATCATATATATCTGTTCGCTCTACTTTGTAAGTAAAAGTTTTGCTAATTGTCATTTGCTTCTTTAAACATTACCTTGCATTCACCCTTCTTTCTAAGATTACTTCCGCTCGCTAAAATAATGGTTTTCACCTTGACATAATTTTTATAATTTATGGGTCTCCTGAATTTCTTATGAATTTCTTATGCGATATACAATTTATGAATTCTCTTCTATTCGTTCAATTAATATGGATTACTTATGATGAATTTTATGCGTTCTTTCTGATATAAATTATAACGATTTGTTTCTATTCTCTTTGATTCAATAATAAAATTATTATTATGTCTCTAATTCTTTAATTCAATAATACATTTATCTCTAATTACATTTAGGCTTATCTCGCTAATTTTTACTTATCATTATGTCAAATTTCCGTGAACGTTTTTTCAACGTAGAAAAAACGTTTGAACTTACCTGCGAAAAATTCGATATAGAATGGGCTTTCGTTGATAACATTTGAACTCGATTTAATAAGAATGTATTATCGAATGGAGATGAGTGGAAGACATATGTATGCAGACTTTCGAAATCCCAAAAATTGAATGGATGTCAAGTTGGTGTCTTTCCTGAGAATTTTTGTACATCATGGAAGCGAGATTCTGTAAATTGCGAAGTGAGAATAAAAATTATCTGGTTAGCTGGCTTCACAAAAGTTCGCGTCGAAAAGTTTAAAGGTACGTCTAATCATAGTCATACTCTTGATGAAAGTGATATGTGAAAAAGATCTAAACATATAAAAGATATGGTAGCTAGTGTTCCTATGAACTGAACCGAACCATACTTTGGCTTGAGTTCAAGAAAGATTCGAAGTTCAAACCGAACTCGAACCGAACCATTATACGAGTTCGAGTCTGGTTCGAGTTCGATTAAAGATCGATATATAGTATCATATACCGATTTGTAGCTCTAAATATATGCTACAAATTTACTTATAAGCACAATTTATAGTATTTAGTAAGAATTAAAAGTTTACATAGTGATAACTAAAGTGTTTTTATTTTTACGTT